CTGCCACTACCACTACCACTACCACTACCACTACCACTACCACTACCACCACCACCACCACCACGACGACTACTACTACTACCACCACCACCACCACCACCACCACGACTACTGCTACTACTACCACCACCACTAGCATTGCTTGACAACCACCACCACTACTTCTACTTTTGGTGTTTTAGAAGCCACAAGAAGAAGAAGACGAAGTAGTAGTAGTTCGGGGGGAGGAGAAAAACAAAGGAATGAAAGTTCCTGATGACTGCTTTCTCTCGTGCTTCCTGCACGACGCATGAGTGCCGCGTGCTGTGTGCAGCTTGGACACAACGGGTCGAGAACCAGTGCGTCCAGCGCAGGGCTGCGAGCGGGCTCGGGGCTGAGCCAGCGCATCACGCCACAGTTCTCGCAGCCGCTTCTCCAAGAGGACAACGCCTCGAAGCAAGTCTCCTTCTTTCCTGGCCCCTCCACCTGTGTTGCCCATGCGTCCTTTTTTACTCGAGCCTTAGCTGTTACCGGGTTGGCGTCTCCGGTTTTAAAGTTGCCGCGAAGTACGAAGTGTTGTCCCCTCCATTTTGGGGAGTCAGAAACGACTTCTTTCCACGTCTTACGGCTCTCTAAGGGCAAACACGCAATGCGGAGCTGCAGCGGGCCCGACAGTGGCACTTCTACATCATCGTGATGTGGGAAGCGCGTTTCCAAGTGGGGCAAGCTACTGTTTGATGCCATCTCCAGAGTGACCTGGCACACTGCACAAAGAAAACGAAAGGGATCAACACCGAGGCCTGCAACTTTTATGTCCAACCACTGCAGTTGAGATGAAATGCCCGCAATTCCGGACTCGCGTGTCTTTCAGTGTTGGAATCGTCACAAAGCACCATCTGCTTCAAATGAGAAAGGTGACGATCGTCACCGAGGTCATATTGATGCCACCTCCGAAGAAAAACTCAGCCAAATTATGGAAGCAAGTGCTGCGAGCAATTCAGGAAGCGATGGCAGGCCGGGACTCCGGAATGTCAGCATGTGGATTCAGTTTCAGTGGCAAAGAACTACGAGTACCGGCATGGAGACGAAAGCTCAGTTTCTAGAGAATATACAGAAGGCAATCGTGTGTTTCACGGCTTAATGAGGGATCCTTGAGCCTGGAGTGACCCCAAGCAGGACCAAAAGTCCAGAGATGTCCTCACAAAGCTCCCGGCTGAAGATGACGTTGGGCATCCTCCTTGGCACCCTGTGCGGTGGCCAAAGCCTGGAAGTACAGGCTCGAATCCAAGGGAAACAACGAGACAACACAGGAGGCAGAACCCTGGGCCTCCACGAGGCAGGTCTCCTTCTGCCTGGAAGCCTCCTCTGCCTACAGTAGCGCGAGTAGACTTCGCATGGAAGACATGTCGGCACGGGCCGTCACCCCACGGCGCCCCAAGAGGTGCCGCAAGCTCAAAGAATAATCTGTCTCGCAAGGTGAGCTCTAGGCTGGTTGTCTTGAGTGGAAGTACCTGCACCACAGTGCACAAGACAAGAGCCACTCCTCTCTTTGGAGGCTTGCGATGCGCTGCTGCGACTCCTCCTCTACCTGACAGGGACGATAGCCCAAGCCCGAAAACCAGATCAAGAAACCCAAAAGCCGCGGAAGAGTTTTGCCATTCGGAGGCCAGGGGCCTCTTATGAGCACTCCTTCATTGATTCAGCTTTTTAGATTGTAGCCACGACAGGCACAGGAAGCAATCTCCATTTGGTTGGCTTCTTGATTCCTATTTCAATCAGAGTCAGCTTGGACAACACCATGGGGCTGCAGCATCTGCTGGACCTTGCGTTGGATTCATCACCCTGCATGTGCAGACCTTCGACTGATTCAGGTGCTGTAGCTTTGATGGGCCATCTGAATCTGCACTTCGATGCCCATTACCACTTCACCCAAGGCCCCTGACCTTTCGCCCTGAGCTTACAAAAGCTCTTCTCAGATCCTGGGCCCTAGGCCCTTGACACAACCTCTGCAGCGGCTCGGGAGACCCGGACCTGCGCAATCTCACCGCGCAGGGACTCTACCGCAAGCTCCACCTCGGCACGCAAGAGTGGCATGTACCCATTTTTTCGGAGGATGGAGCTGGACAGGCAAAAGAGTTAAAACGTGCCGCGGGCTTTTGTGAAAATAGCATGCAGCGCAGGCAAACCCTCCAAAAGCCTGGCAAGACTAAAGGGACTCCTGTCGGCGCCTCCTGCACCCGAGCTTCCGCAGCCTGCCGACTCGCGGTGGCCTTGACCACCAGGTCTGGTTCAATACACATACAAGTAGCACTCCCCACCAGTACTCGTACGGCAGTAGCAACGGCAGCAGAAGAAGCAGCTTGTAATAACAAGACGACCCAGCCTCGGCGAGCCTCTTCTTGGCATCGGCCTGCCGGGCCTCCTCGAAAAGAAAGGCTTTGTAGGAGTCTAAAAGCTTCCATGCTGCTCTGCACTGCAAACAGGTGTGTTGTAGCATTACAGCCTCGAACTGATGCTAGCACTGGCCCAAAGGTTTTGCATCAAGCGGTTTACGACTCTTTCGGCTTTGCTCTTGTGGATACTGCATCAGTCCCTGCTCCGCAACCTGATTGCACTTTCGCAGAGCAACGCAAACCGCTCCTGTATTCAAACCTTGCAGACACAGATGTGGAACTGCAAATGGATGTTGTTAGTGGAAGGACATTATTAAGCCAAAGGCTCACAGCAAGCCGATGTCTTGAAGAGATCTTGAAAGCCATGCCGGTAGATTCGGTGCAGTTCTGCGACACAAACGCCAAGGCGGTTGTGCATGACGATGTCATGCAGCTGGACTATCGTGGCAACAACTTGATTTGTGAACCTTGACCTCACAGCTTTCCAGCCTGCTCTTTCTGCTGTGCCAAGACGTCTGCCATGGCCTTCGCCTGCTGCCAAGCGTTCTTGGCAGAGGTCTCCTGCAGTTTCGAGAGTGCTAGATCTTTGCTGAATCCCTTCCTGGCTCCGGCACCAGAGTCCAGATGAGATCCCGAAACAATGTCGCACAACCCAGTGTGGGGCTGGGTTAACCCCCCAAGCAGGTCTCCATCTGCTGGAATTGGCGGCTTGCTGCCTCCTCCTGCAACAACGGAGATTCGTTGGAGAGAATGGTGCTGTGAACATGTCAAGCTCAATACGGGCTTGGTCTCAAGGCATCAGCTCGAGATGAGATAAACAAATCATTCTGTCACGTATACCGTCTCTGTCGGGATCTTGGGCTGAGCATCCAGGACTAAACGCCGTGAAGCAAGTCAGATCACCGATGCAAATGACACTGCTTAGACGGGCTGGCAACTCGATGCAGCTCCTAACGACCATGAATGCGGGGCTACTTGACCAGACACAGAAGTTCTGCGGGGCTAAACTAAACGAATCGAAATCGATGCTGACGATGCTGGCCCCGACAGGCTGCCAGGAAAAGCACATCGCCCGTGTGGTCGGATTTCCAAGAAGACGACGCGCTGATGCTCATGATGCTGGCCCGCTCGGACCAGAAAAAGCGTGCAGCCAACAACAAGCGGTGTTCGTGCTGTCAGCGGCCGCGATTGTGCTGATATATCTGCCTGTGCTCAAACGCCACCAGCAATGCAAGCTGAAGCTGACGATGTTCGTCAAGTGGTCGGACGGAAAACATCAAACGATGGGTTGCTGATGCTTCTCATGCAGGCTGTCCAAAACAAACACACCGATCATGCACTCTGCGACGGTGCTGATATCATTACATGATTACATGCGATCAATAGCCATGCGAGGTGAAACTGCTGTTGGCCGGGTGGCTGCAACGGCCAAAGAAGCTCCGGCACTGATGCTCATGATGCTGGGCGGTGGGGGCCGTCAGGAAAAGCGGGGCGCAATGACCAGGATGACGATAATTAATGTGCACCGCGACTGTGCTCATTTAGCTGCTTGCATGCTGGCCTCGATCAGCGAGGAGAAGCGCCGCGAAGTGTTGCCCGTCAAGCGCCCCCCGGCGATTGGGCTGATTTAGCTGCCCGTGATGATAAGCTTTGCGACCAATGCAAGCTGAACGTGATGATGTTGGTCTGATAGTGCGAAGCCGGCCGAATGATCCCCGACTTTTAAAGGAAGTTTGAACCTCAAGGCCTCAAGGAGCTGCACTCGGTGCGCCTGCGCCTGCAGCTCGGCGGTGAGATCGGAAGCCTCTGAAGCCTCGGAGCCCGCCGGCTCAGGTGCCTCTCGTTGCCCGGGAGACTCTGGGGGCATTCTGGGACTGGCGGATCCCTGCGGTCGTCGTTGATAGCAGCAAATGCTTGCATTGCTATCATTCTGGGCGCTAAAGTGTTGGGGATTCCGAAACAATGAAAGTCACCGGTGAGCCTTAAAGCCTTCAGGCTGTTGCCGTTCCCGCCTCTGCTGTGTCCACCGCCGGAGCCGCACGCGCCGCATGGGCCCGCCTCCTTTGGAGTTCAGGGAGGACCGAGGACTTCGGGATCCGTGGATGCTTCCAGCACACAGATGCACAAATGCGAGTCATGCTCTGTGCCAGGGCACGGTGATGTTGGCAATGCAGCAATGGGTGCTGCTGCCTGCACGGATGACACAGAACAAAGCTTGTAAACTTAAGGGCTTCCTTCTGACAGAATCTGGACTGGTAATAATGATTGTTGTGAGGGTGGAGGCAGGAAATTACGGGTTCCGTGGCTTCCGGTATTCTTTGAAGTTGCTCGGGCTGTGAATGGAGCCTTCGTACGCCGCAGGCGCTCGAGCAGACCTGTCGCAGATGGGGCCTGCACCTGTGCGCAAGCTTTGGGAGCTTCGTCAGCTTCTGGCGGTGAGGGCTTGGGCAAGACTGTCTCAAGGCAGACCTGGCCAATCCCGAACCCGTCCCCCCACGGAAAACCCCCCGACCCTTGGTTTGCCTTAGCATCACCTTCCCGAGCTGCACAGACGGCAGCAAACGGCGTTGGGCTGCTTTCGAGCCTCGCAAACGGTCGAGTGATTTGAGAGTCGTTGCATTCATAGAACAGTTTTCAATGATTCGCTACTCGAAAGCTTGTCCCCCCCTACCACAAATCGATATTTTTTCAACCCCCAGTTCCCCAGAGGGGAAATATCTTCAAGAGCCTACCCGCCACCACACGCCAAAAAAGCACCCCAATTCATCGCAGCCCGTGCCTCGGTGATTTAGGGCACGTGCGCGATCTCTCCCGGGTCTCCTGGGAGCCAGGGATAGCCGGGGCTTCAGAAACTTGGGAGTTGGGGGGGTTCGATGACAAAACTGGCTCCTTGGTCGTGGCTTTGACCTTGGAGGCGAGTGGTTGGCCACGCCGGTTGTCGGGCGCATCCCGAGGCGCGAGTGGGGGCGGAAGAGCCCGAGAAACCTCATGCGACATCCAGACCGAAGAGAACTGGCTCAACTGGCCGTCCATCAGAAGCATAGGCAGCATAGGTCAAAAGAACGGATGGTCAACAGGATCCACTGACAAGCTTCCGGCTCGAGGCAACTCCGTCAATGCCGGGTTGGGCTTCCTGTAGAGCTCCGGCGCAGATGCCTCTCAGCACTCTGGGATGAGGACGCGGTTCAAGGCTCACCACAACTCTGGGCTTGCCCGGCTCAGTCGGTGATGCTTCGGGGAAAGACCACGACGGTAACGTCACGCATCGCTTGGGTACAACTTCGCATCACATCCGCCGGGCCACAGGCCTCCGGCCTCTTGCGGTTTAACTAAATATCCTCTACCTAATGGGCTGTGTGACAGCGCCGGTCGTTGAAACGACTCACGTACTGGTACTGCTTCTAACCAGTCAAACTTCTTCGCTCGCGACGGCTATCCCAAACAGTTAAACACACACAGGCAACATGTCCGCAACTTCGTAGTCCAGTGACACCCGCTTTCCCTCCCCTCTTCTCCCAGCCATCCCTCCGCTTCTCGTCCTGTTGCTGCTACACATACTGCTGCTAGTACTGCTGCTGCTGCTACCTTTGCTCGTGTTGCTGCTACGAGTACTACTCCGCGTACTGCTACGCCTGCTTCTACTACTGCTCCTGCTTCTTCTTCGCAAATACTGCTCCCACGACTGCGCTGCCCCCATACACGTCCTGCAGACTCGAAGGCACTTAATGCCTCCACTGTCAAGCCGAGGCGGGCGGCGTAGCGTTAGAGTTAGTTCTAGTTGGCTCGACAAGAAGTAACAGAAGAAGTCGGCAGCGCTAAGGGGGTGCACACTCTAATTCTCCAATGCATGTCGTCCACGAAACATGTTACCAAGACTACCATGCAAGAAACTCAACAGAACTTGTCGCACAAAGAGGGATTCCCGATCATGTGCCCTTGATTTTTTGCAGTTCCCGATTTTCTGCTTTAGTTGGCAGTTCGGCGCTTTCTATGCCTCCTGTTGTCGGCAACCCAATGTCCTTAGCGTAGTGGCAGCTTGCCTGCAGCTTTTTCGGTGCCAGTGTCGGCTTGCCACGTGGCTCCGGCAGCTTCCCCTGCAGCTTGCACTCTCTGCTCAAGAGAGATACGCGATGCAAAGCCTATTGCTCCGGGCCGACACAAATCCAGAGGTGCCGGTGCCCCTGAAATGCGACCTCGGGTCCCCTGAAATCAATGATGGAAAGCTGTTCTGAAGTCTTTCGATACGAGGTGCATCAGTCACAGTGGCCTTCGCGGCACTTTGGGTGGTTGCTGCAGCTCCTTTGTCCAGAGCAGAACCGTGTGGCTCCTGCTCAGGAAGGCTGTGGCAAGCACAATTGAGGGAAACTCTAGGAAATGCCGCCATGCTCACAAAACGGCTGCCCGGGAACAGGTACCAGGCATGAGGGAAGTTGGACTATCTTCGTGTTCAGGCCCCGGGATCGAGGCCAGGAGTGTACACCCATCTCTTCACAGTTGTGCAGCCTGATCCCGCTTACATTGGGAGGAGTGCTAATATGTGCTAATTCAGAATGAGAAGAAAGCGGCTGAAGCTGGCGCCTCCATGCGATTTCGTGGCGCGGGACGTCCCGGGGCCTTCGCTGGTGCACAAACTCCAAGCATCTCTTCTCAGAAGTCCTCAACGCTTCCAGTGCATCTAGTCTGAACAGAAGCATCCTCAGTTTCCCGGTTCACAGTTATATTTTGAACCACCAGCGCGGACAGACTAGATGACAGATTAGGTCACTACATCGCACCTCTGACAGGTCTTCGTTGAGGCTCAGATGGGAGAGTCGCAGGAGTCTTACCGCGAAATCCTTCTCAGCCTTGGGGCAAGCCACATGTAACAAGGCTACCCCAAGCATCTGTTGCTCATCGAGGCCTTCACAGGGGCACTAGAACAACACGTAAGGATATGTAAGGACAATACACCACAGTGGCCCTCAACCCGACAAGATGTGCTGCGCGCGACGCGCGAGCCTGGCTCGCCGTCTACTCCATTAGGTCGAAATTATTAGAAGCACCATGAATCCTGGAACTCCCACGCTCTTCTTGCTCATGCCGAGAAAAAAAAGAGGAACGTGCAGAACGTGCAGGGATGAGCGCCTTCTTCACAGGGCTTCGGCTGCGCTTGGGCGACGCAACCTCCAGCTTGAGCACGGGCAGTTTACAATGATGTCGAAGGCTCCAAAGATTTAGCATACTTCGGGATCTTTCCGCTCGGAGTTTTCTGCTGAGCCGAAAATTTTCTCGCAGCCTTGTCGCACTCTTTGTCGAACTGCTTTGGCACTGCCTGCCATCTTCGGCCAAACAGCGGCAAAAGGGACCACAGCAGCATTTGACAAGCTAATCTAGTAGCATAAAGCCCTGCAGGCTACGGCGGCTACGATAAGAGGGATGAGACCAGTGCCGGCAACTTGCTACCAGAGATGTCGACACTGATCTCGACAACGCCCTCCGAAAGGAGACGCCTTGGCAACAGTATGGAACCCTTCCCTATAATAGTCCCCATAATGCATTGGCCTGCTTGCATATCAAATCGAAACCACCGCCCGTGACGCCTTCCCCTTACTGGTCGCTGCAGCAAGCTTCGAAGGAGCCTGCACAGCGATGCAAAGCCCGTCCGGTTTGGGGCATGGCTTCGTGTTCCGAGGTGATGCACAGGCCGCAGCATCAAAAGCAGAACCGTTCATGATCTGTACCGGTCAATCGTTCCTTATCATGCCTGCTGTACAGTACCACAGCAAGCCTGTTCTGGCTGTCGGAGCTGCAGTGGAGCTGCTGTTCGAATTGTGAACGTCGGCCCTCCACCGGCCTGAGCGTGCCCTCTTCGTGCAGAAAGTGGTGCCTGTTCATAGCACCCCCCTTGCCAACAACATCGTCAGCTTCACTGCAGCCACTTGCATCGAGCACACATGCACCGCATGCACCACGCTGCCACTCTCTCAGTGTCTCTACGTTCGAATCGTGCTGTCGAGCCCCTCATGGTAGGCCTGCTCAGACTCGTCAGCCAACACCGGCTTTGGCGAGGCCTGCGATCGAATGAACGTGCAGCGGCAGATGCACCAAGACATGTCACAGCACCGCCTCCTTCCGGCGCCCACGCCGCTCAGCAGAAGGAGCCTGTGCCAGAGAATTTCTACACATGGCACATGGTACAGATTGCTGGCATCAGCAGTGGCAACGGCGAACGGGCCCGCAAGACCAAAGAAAACATGCCTTGTCTGGCTCAGCTGCTGTCGGCTTCGCAGCGGCCTGCATGTTGGTTGGGAGATTCTTGCTCCGGCTTGATCTGCGACTTCAGGAGAGCAGCTTCCAATCTTCCTTTTGCCCCTCTTTCTGCCGGCCTGGGTGCGTCCTCTTCGCGCAGACTGTGGTACCTGGTTCAGGCTCATCGTCTCTACGTTCGAATCGTGCTGTCGAGCCCCTCATGGTAGGCCTGCTCAGACTCGTCAGCCAACACCGGCTTTGGCGAGGCCTGCGATCGAATGAACGTGCAGCGGCAGATGCACCAAGACATGTCACAGCACCGCCTCCTTCCGGCGCCCACGCCGCTCAGCAGAAGGAGCCTGTGCCAGAGAATTTCTACACATGGCACAGATTGCTGGCATCAGCAGTGGAAACGGCGAACGGGCCCGCAAGACCAAAGAAAACATGCCTTGTCTGGCTCAGCTGCTCTCGGCTTCGCAGCGGCCTGCATGTTGGTTGGGAGATTCTTGCTCCGGCTCGATCTGCGACTTCAGGAGAGCAGCTTTCGATCTTCCTTTTGCCCCTCTTTCTGCCGGCCTGGGTGCGTCCTCTTCGCGCAGACTGTGGTACCTGGTTCAGGCTCATCGTCTCTACGTTCGAATCGTGCTGTCGAGCCCCTCATGGTAGGCCTGCTCAGACTCGTCAGCCAACACCGGCTTTGGCGAGGCCTGCGATCGAATGAACGTGCAGCGGCAGATGCACCAAGACATGTCACAGCACCGCCTCCTTCCGGCGCCCACGCCGCTCAGCAGAAGGAGCCTGTGCCAGAGAATTTCTACACATGGCACATGGCACAGATTGCTGGCATCAGCAGTGGCAACGGCGAACGGGCCCGCAAGACCAAAGAATTGCTCCGGAAACATACCCACTCATCTGCTTGGTCAACCGTTAACTTGATGTGCGACTTCAGAGGAGCACCATGCACGCTTCCCTCATAGCCGCCCACGCCGGCCTGAGTGCATCCTCTTCGTGCAGAGAGTGGTGCCTGTTCCACAGCGCAATCTTCACGACGAACGATGCCACATGGCACCCCATGGACAGTGTTGACGATGGGCCAGGCTTGATTTTGCATATCCCATCGAGGCACTGCAGCCCGCCTTTTCCTCCTGGTCCTTGCCTACTGGGCGCTTCGTGGCTTCGTCACCGGCCTGGTGCAAATGGGCTGACGATGGCTGACGGTTTGCATCCAACTTGCAGCAAGCAGATTGGAAGTGATGCCTCTAATCATCAGTCCTCGAATCCTAGAAGACACCCCACGTACACGCAGAGTCGAGAACCACCAACACCGTGGAACAAGATCAGAAAACGCGGAAGACCGGAAGGCCTTGTCCAAGCTGGCAGCCAGGGACCGTGGGACCGGCGAGGCCTGCTTCAGGGGCTCGCGGTTTTCCCGCAAAGCAGTGGGTTCACCATGGTTCGGGGGTAGCTGCTATTCTCCTGCAGCTTCGGCAAGCTCGAATGCCCAGAGATCAGATGAGATCAGCCTTCCATCACATCACTCGCCTGATCACTCATCTTTTTCATCTGACTTTAAAAGCCGACGAGGGAGAGCTAATACCCCCGAAGAACTACTGGTGTCAACACCCGCGGCGCTTCAAGCAACGTCCAAGCGGATTGCTTCGGGGGTGCATTGCCGTGATTCGCTGCTGAGCTACAACCCCATGTCTGATCTTCTTCTGGCGAGACCCTCCCTCTGTCGCATTGCCCGGAAAAGCGCTACTGCCCGATCCACGTTATGGCATTGATCTCAACTACTACCGGCACCCCTCTGCTGTGAGAGGTAGGCGTTCCAGTACAAGAGGCGGCAGGCAAGCTCTAGCCGAGCTTGTGACTGCAGCCCGCAACAGAGCTGTACGAAAGGAAGCGAAAGGAAGCAGCTCCTCCTGCAGTTGCCGTGGGTACTCGTACAGCCTTCAATGTCCGACTGTCCCCCCGAAACACCCGGCGACACGGCGCAGACCGGAGCTGCCACTGTCCGCAGCGGCCAACGGCAAGACCGAGACGGGGGTCACGGGTCAGCCAACGGCAAGTCGTGGACAGGCGTTTCAGGGATCCGACGCAGCACCGCCCTGGCGTTCTCCCGCTATGGCATGCTATGGCTATTGTCAATAAAGACATGGGAAGCGCTCAACGCATGCTCGCGAATGTGCGGATGTGTGGAGGACGTCTCATGACGTCTCATGTTGTCACTCTTTCTACATTACATTGTGGTGTGCCAAGACTAGAGCCGTGCGATCAGATTACCCAAAGATGTTTCTGCTTTTCGTGCATGCCTTATTCCACAAAATGTAAAGTAAAAGGGGAGCCAAACAGCACTGACTACATCGAACTGCACAGCAGCCAAGGACATGGCCCTAGAATGCGAACAGAACCTGAGCCTGTCCCCAAAATCAAGCGCCTTCTGCTTCACACACGGGCTTCGCCCTCGGAGCTCGGACCCTGGAGCCTGACATGTGGGGTTCGAGGACTGCGCTCAGGGGCGTCGGGTTCTTTCCCGCTTGCGCCTGTTTGGGTGATTCAAGTTGAGGACCACCGAGGGCTCAGCGGTCTTGGCGGTCTGAGGATCCAGATGGCCGACTTGCTGAGGCAGGGGCTGCCTTTCGCAGAACCTTTTGGCCCCTGCTGGGCACCATTATGCAGGATGGCGCCCACTCGGACTTGTGCTGTGCTCCGTACTCATGCTGTGGGCTTGTTGCATTGCTTATGCCTGCTGCCCTGCCAGCCCTGTTCTTCTTACTATATGGCTGAGCACTGTTGTGTCCATCGACACCCTGACGATGCTGCACGTGTCAGCATTCCTACTGGCAGGACATGTCAACCTGACGAGGCATACACACGAACGCCTTGTTTTCGTGCCACATGCTGCAGAAGTACATCGCAGCTACCGGCGGAGTCTGAACAGCATGTTCATCCTGACACGCGCAGCAGAATTCTGCTAGCCAACCGCTGTACTAATGTTTCAGCTACTGTCAGCATGTGAGCGCTCATGTGGATCGATGAAGAGGAAATGAGGCAATGCCGTCAATGCTGCGAAAGCAAACACCAAGACTATACATTTGAGGCACGGCCACGTATATTCACTCAGCAGCCTGGAACAACTCCAGTCATAAACGGAATCAACTTCGCTTTGATCATAGCCTGCTGTAATGCATTCCGACTTGCTGAAGCCAGCTTCCCAGCACTGTTGGACAGAAAAGTCATACTGCTTCCAGATGTTCGCCGTGGCATATCAGGCCAAGCATCTTTGCAGTCGGCCACACTAAACCCTGCCACCCTGCAACTGTTCAAATCGTAGCCGGCTTCCTTGCATTCAATTA